AAGTGGCATCTACTTAAATATGAAGGCTTCGAGTTTATCATTCTTTATAGCTGAGTAGTACTCCATTACATAAAAGTACCACATCTTTTTCAACCATTCCACATGTGATGGGCATCTTGGTTGTTTCCAAGATCTGGCTATCACAAATTGTGCTGCTATAAACATAGGTACGCATATAATGACTGCCTTTTTGTACACACACAGGACTTGGCTCAGATGTGACCTGCTGGTCATAGTTCATCAATGTCTGTCCCACATTCTTTTTTTTCCCATTTATGTATTTGGCACAGGGTCTCACTATGCAGCTCAGGCTCATAGTGATCCTCCTTGTTTTCAGCCTCCCTAGTGCTAGGATACCAGGCATGCACTCCCGGACTCTGTTGCTGGCTCAGTGTGCCCCGAGGGTGGGGCCAGTGTAGCATGCAGGACTGGGGATCGAACCCTGGTCCCTGTGCTTGCCAAAGCTGGTGTTTATTTCACTGAGCTATCTCGCTGGCCCTGCCCCATATTCTTATACTCAGTAGCATGAATACCTCCTGGGAGTTGGTTAGAAACTAAATGGCCACTCTTCTCCACAGTACAGAATCAGAGTCTGCGTGTTAGCAGAATTTCCAAGAAAATTACCTACACATTAAACTTTGAGAGACACTAGTCTTTAAAAAGACACTACTTGCTGTCAGCTGAGGTGGCCCAAGCCTATAATCGCAGCACTCAGGAGGCTGACGTGGGAGGATCAAAAATTTAAGGCCAGGGATGGTACATAGTACATTTGAGGCCAACCTGAGCTGCATAGTGAGACTTTAACCTTAAAACTGTGACAGTAACAACAACCAAAGGCAATGCCTGACTTTGTCTCTCCATCCCTGGTCTCCAAGAATCTCCTCATCTACACTGAACACAACACCCACTGACATTTCCCTTTGGAGACTTTCTGGATGCTTCATAGGTGAAATGCGAGAGTCCAACGGGTACCTTATTCACAAGTACTTAGCCACGTGTCGAACAGTGGTGCTCTTCTTGTTCTGCTGTGCTGGGCCTTATGCCTGGTACGGTAGCTTCAGAATCAAGGATGAGGCCATGCTTGCCTTCAGGCATGCTTGGCGTAGTAGCAGGACAGACCGAAGTTATGAAAAAAGATAAAGGACAGTGTGGTCACTACTTCGGAGTACGAGCAGAGGTCTTTGAGGTGGAAGCCGTCCTAGACCCAGTGCCAAGCCCCAGGAGCCTGGCAGTAAGGTGTGACAAGTGGTGCTGAAGAATGAACCCAACTGTTTCCTCTGCAATTTTTCCTGTGGACCAGATAGGTGGCCCACAGCCACAAGGTGGCAGTGTTGCCAAGGCGTCCCAGGAGCCTGTGCCTGTGACCTCTTTGGGCTTAGTCAGAGCCTCCTGCGTCATGTCACACGTCGCCTGTCTGAATCACAGCTTAATCCTGCCTACGCAAGGCACCGTATGAGCAGTTCCTGCAACCTCAGTCCTCTGTGGCTCCTGCAGCTTGGTTCTTTTAGGGTATATTCCCTGCCTATGGAGTTTCCCACCCCTTATTTCTAAGCTGGCTGCTCCAGCTTAGATCGTGTGCCCAGCTGATTTCTTTCTGGTGTTTCTCTAGTTGCTAGCAAATTTCCTCCACAAGTCTGAAAGTTGTGATGGTTCTGCATTCATTTATCCAGGTTTTCAGCTGACCACACAAGGCTCTCTCCCTGGGAGCCACTCCTTGTCTTCTCGGATGGCACAGTGGCTGGAGCCTGGCTGTGGGAGCTGGACATGTGGGGCCTGCAGGGACAGGTGCTGGAGCATGACGCACAATTTCCCGGTTTTGGTACGGCACAGAGTGTGGAGCAAGCCTCGGGTCAGACCTGCAGTGGGCGCAGACTCTTACCTCTGTGGAGACTGGGGACATTTCGTTATTCACTTAGCAGTTGCACAAGACCTGCCTGTGCGTGGTGCTCTGTGGGTTGGAGGGTGCAGCAGACAGCACTGCACCCAGAGCTGCGGAGAGGGAGGCAGGCAACAGAGAAGGAAGCGGGGCTGCTGCGGCCGGGGTCTGGACAGGTTTGTGCAGGGGAAATGACACCCACGCCCCGACTTGGTGGGTGCCAGGAGCCAGCTGTGCAAAGAGCTGCAGGGAGGAGTGAAAGTTCCAGCTTCAAGAACTGTGCCAGGGTCTGGGGAGGAAGAGGAACAGAAAGGAGTCATCCTGTCGGGCGCATGGGCAGGAACAGAGGCAGGGTGTGGGGTACAGATGGAGTTGGGGAAGTAGCTTTAGCTGTTCTGTTTGTTTAGTAACTGAGCAGAGCTCAGCGGATGGTAATGAGCTAGATAAGCGGTTGGGTTGCGTCAGCCTGTAGCCTTGCCCTCAGTATATTTGACATTGTGATCCAGAACACAAATACATATGAATGGAGTGTAACGGAAGTTTCACGACACACGACCACTTTATGGGCCATTCTCCAGTATTTTCTACTTAATTACAGCTTTACCTGTTTCCTTTTTTGAATATTGGCTTCACCCCTCAAGTTGACTTCTTGGCCACCAGAATCAGGGGTTATGGTCCTTTGAGATAAGGTGTGTGCAGCTCCTGCCGCAGCTGGCAGATGGTGGGTCTCCAGGGGTGTTGTCATGTGTTATCCTCCCACCTTGCCCGTGACGTGAGTCTGGAGCAATACTTGTAATTCAGGGCAAGGCAGTGGGCCCGGACCATGTAGGTTCCTTTCTTCTTCCTGTTGCCAGGTGGCAAAGCGGAGGAAACAGTGGGCCATACGGCCAGCAGTGAGCGTGGTCTGGCGGCACAGCCCTGCTCCTCCTGCTGTCCCAGCTCTCAGCCCGTGGCTGTCAATGGAGCCCTTTCATGAGACGTCTGTTTTCTCTTACCTGGGGAGGAAGGGTGAGGGAGATAGTGGGACAGAGGTGTGACTCCAGAATCCAGACTGCCTCTGAAAAGGCCAGTTGTTTTGCCTGCTATAAAGCAGAGGTGGAACCAGGGGTCAGTGAGGTGGCCTCTGCGTGAGAGCGGCCAGCAGAGATGGGACCCTGAGAACGAGTCCCCTTGTGGGTGCAGAGGATACCCTGTGCTTCAGCCACAGGTCAGCATTTTTTGTCCTGTGCTCTCTCAGAGATAAACCCAGACCTTTGGAAGGAAGGGTGTGGGTTTGTTTAGGAGGACATTTTGTTTTGTTTTGCTTTTTTCATTTTTAAAACATTTTTTTTTAAAGAGAGCACAAATTAGAATTAAAACAAAAAATTACAAGTGAGACAGAATTTCACTTAACAAAGTAATGTGAATTTTACAGTATTTGTTGTAATACATAGTGTTGTTTTCCAACCAATATTCATATTACCAGGTATGTGCATATAAAATTGGAAGAAGAAAAAGGAAGAAATATATAAGAAATTAAGAGGAAAAGTACAAACAATTGAAAAAAAGGAAACAAAACAAATTAAGGCATTAACTCCTTTCCATAAACCAGCAGAAATGCACAGTACAGTTGTCGAAGCATCCCGCTTACGTACTAGATACATCTCTTTCCCCCACTCCCTCTCCTGTCCTTCTCAACTCACTCTTTACTTTTGAATAAGTTCATTCCCTTTTCCCAGTATCTGTTGTACCCTTCAGATAAGGAGGACAGTTTGAAAGCCAGCTGTTCCCAGAAGTCTCTTTAGAAGCGTTGTTCATGATAGAAAGAGCCAGCAACAGATTGCAGTCGGCTAGGTGAGCCAGGTGGAGTCCAGCAGCTTCCCCCACCTCCGTGGCTGGGGACGTGGACAGCAGCCGCTGGGCCAGTGAAGGATGTGTGTCTCCACAGAAGGCAAAAGCGAGACAGAAGCAGCAGTGTGAGTCCAGTGATGTGAACTGGAGGAACATGAAGCACTAAGCAGTGTGCTGGGTAGCAAGGCGTACATTTCTAGTAAGACTGGAAAGACAGCAGAGAAATGACTTAACCCCACCGCAGGAAGGTGAGTTTCCTTGGTGGGGGCAGGGCAGAGAGGGTGACAGACATTCTAGTAATGGCCATTCTTTTGGGCTTATGCTTTTGGTGTGTGTTGCTTTTTATATTATTTTAGGTGCGCATGTCATATACATATACCTTTTTTTTTTTGGTGGTGGTGGTACCAGGGATCAAACTAAGGACTTTGCACTTGCCAGGCAAGCACTTATTCTGCTGAGCTCTCTCTCCAGCCCATATACCTTTCTCCATATGTGTACTTCTCAAGTAA